TAATTGTTCCGTAATAGTTAGCTCGAACAGACAGTTAATGCTGATCTGAACTTTTAGGTGAACCGCACTGTCCTTGAATGATATTAAACGTGACTTGACAGTTGTGGAAATTGTTTACGGTGAAAGCATGATGGCTGCTGCTTGCTTGCTGGATCTGTTTTGTACTGGTTGGAAAAGACCACACCGGAAATCCTAGGGAACTGTTTGATGTTGTTGTCTGGTTGTTGTCTGGAGTTCCGCTGATAATGTGTGATATCTCCTGATGCTCCCTTTCACTTCCTTCATCGTAGTCCTTCAGCAACTTTTCATTTGCGTGGCTGGTCACCTGAAAGATAGACTGCCTCTTGACATTTGCTGCCCTCAGTTTCTTTACCACCGTCTTCCTGGCAATGTGATTACTTAGCCTCTTGCTAGATACTTCCAAAGGTCGATACTGTTAACGCCAAGCCGCTGCTTCTTGTACCAAATTTCTATATTGGGATTGTTGATCACAGTAAGGTAAAATGGACGTTTGTCTCGAAGCTCTAGCAGACTTCGACTTAGGTACTGCTTGAAAAATTGAACTGGACATCTTGCACCACAAGTGACAAACATTTTGGACAAAACTGTGCGACGTTTTGTGTTAAGTCCTCCCTGTCTTGTCTTTGTTGGATGTTCTCCAAATGTAATGTACTCCGTTCCACAGTCGCCTTCACAAAATACAAAGTCTTCGACTTCCATTGAATGGTGTTCCTGACGTCCCCTCAGTCCAAAATGCTGAGTGAAAAGCCACCACATTGTCTGAGAAAGAACTCTTGGACTGGAATTGCTGAGATTTTTTGCCGTCCAAAGTATTTCTTCTTCTTTGGCTGTCAGTGCACTTGCCGCATAAGGCCTCTTCCCTTTTCCTTGCCAGCTAAGATGTTTTACTTTTCCCTCGAACACTAACTTGGACTTATAAAACTCACGGTCTTGTATAATTGAGTACTTTTAGTCATGTTCTTTCAAATGATGGTCAAGGGCTGCCAGCATGGACTTCAAACTCTCAGGATTGTAACAATCCATCTTTGGTACCTACTTCAGCATAAAACATTTGTAACTTTTTATCTCGATCTTCAGGCTCGTACTCCTCCAGTTTAGGGTTGAATTTTCTTTCATTTGCCCATTTTTCCCAGACATTCAACCACATTTGTGTTGATTTAGTAGTGTTTTGGTTTTTCGCATTTAGTTTCAGTTGGTCAACAACTATTTCGTCGGACGAAACAAACTGGCTTTCAGCCTGTTTACTTTTTGTTTTTAAATTTTGCGCTTCCCCTATAGTTTCCATAGCAACTTCCGTATTGCACTTTATAACCTCCATTTGAAGTTGCATTTTGTTGCACCATTTTGAAGTGTTAATGATTTAAAAGTATTTTGATAGGTTTCTCTGATTAAAAGACCTGATGGCCTGCTTCAAAAATGTGTTTGATGGTTCCATGAAGATATGAAACCTTCAGTGAAGATTAGCAGAGAAGACAGGACAGCACTGAGTACCTACCTCTTGTGGTGGCACATCAAAGGAGACTGTCCGCAGATCAACTTTCTGATAGGAGTCAATACAAGGTAAAATGAAGAACAATCCTAAAAGAAAATAAAGACGAAGCCTTTTTAAAAATATTTCAACATTGTTTAAACCTTTGTCCTTTTACAATGCGACGGCAGAATGTAACTAAATTGTTCCCAAGGGGAGACGTTAGGGACACAGGAGAAATGTTGATAACATGCCTTGCAGAAACTATGAAAAGTAACTTACACTAATCATTAGATTTTCTAAACTCGCAACCTAGGATAAATTGTTATTATTATCTGTACCTGGTCCTTTTGCACCTCCAGGCAGCAATCGGCCAAGACGGAAAATGACTGCTCTCTCATATTCTTGAACTATCTGTTTTTTTTGTTAAAAAAAAAAAAAAAAAGCGTAACATAGGAGATAAGAACTAAATAGAATTTAGTAGAAGAAACAAAATTCTGAGCATTTTATCAATGAGAGTCATGCATGGTGACCTACTGTAGGTGGATCAGAAGGTTTGTCATTTTGGCATCATACCTTCATAGTAAAGAATAGTGATAATGGCAGAGTACAGATGAACAGGACGACAGATAATACCGTCAGCACATAGTCGCAGCAGCCACGGCTGCCTGAATCTGAAAAAAAGACACAAATCAAGATAAATACAACTTAACCATTTTTTTAGGATCCCACTGTGACATTTACATCACAGTCAAAACAGCAAGAAACCAAGGTGACCATAATTTAAATGGCAGCATTTAGAGTAATGGGTGGGCCCATATGAATCCCTCATGGTCTCAAGATTGACAATCAAATATAACAGGGCTTGAAATTGTGACCGGTACAGTCACATTTGCAACTTAACTTTACTTATTTGCGATTAGAAAAGCGAGAGTAGTTGTAAATTTGTGACTAGGTTTTGCCTTGACTGACACAAATTAAAAGGGCTAGCAGTAATCTCAAAGGAAAAAGAACATTACTTGTGGATGAAAGACACAATTTACTTGAATAGATATAATCAAACAAAGCCACGATTCTTTGATCACCACCTGGATCGCCATGTTTGATTATTCTAAGGCACACTAAGGTAAATGACTCTCCCTCTATTGAAAACTTCAAAATGGCTACCCCTGTTCGAAATCGTCCCATAATGCATTACAAACTGTTGAGCATTAAATATGTCATGTGTATGTCTATGAATTGTGTTTCTTCTATTTGATTTTGCGACTAAAAATTTACATTTAGTGGCTATTTTTTAACACTTAGTCGCCAAATGCCAACTTAAGGATTTTGTTAATTTCAAGCCCTGCACAAGTCAACTAATTAAAAATTAAGTACGGTAAGAATCTGCAAATCACTTTCACTGTATTTGTTTGCTTATAAGGTGCACTTAGTTATAAGGTGCACTTGGTTATGAGATGCATTGTTAACTTTTAGACATAAGCTTATCAAGTTTACAAACTGAAAACTTCTCCTAAATATTCAGTTATAAGACGCAACCTGAATTACAGGGAAATTTTTTACCATATTCACTTCGACAACAACAATATACTTCCAAATTGGCTAGTTACAGTCCTTTCACACCAGATGATGAAAAACTAGCTTCCAGGCTATTCGCAAAAAGATGGATGGAATGCCTGGAGGTTAAACATTCATCACGGAACAAAATCGTGTGTTTTCATCGTTGATTTAGGCCAAAATCTACTTTAAAATAATCTATCTTATCAGACTTTTTGCTTGTCATGTGGGGTTGGTAGGCAGCTGCTTTATTGCTAGTTAACATGGAACACTTTTTGTTTTATGCAGAAAAATCTCTGGTTACGATGATGTGAATGTTAGTGAATGACATGTTAGTGGATGTTTGACAAGTTTAATCATCAGGGAAATTTGGCAAAATTGTATTTTGTGGCGCAAACATACTCAATTATAAGACACACCCCACGTTTGGAACAGATTTCGATTGCACAGGCATATTTTCTTTGAATAAATGCTGTCTCATAAATAAAAACTATAGTAACTTTTTGCCAAATTAATAGACTATGATCAGCTGCCAGTTGCCCTTGAAACAGAAAATTATTCTTTATCGTGAGGCTCCAAGAAGAACTCATTACTTGTTACCAGTCTACACAAAGCCACTTTATGGACCAAAAAGCACTGGTGACTAGCCTAGTTTGTTAATTTTGGCCTTTCATTTCATTATTGATGCTAGAAAAGATGTAATGATTTCAGCAATGCTTTGAGCCTAATGACAACGACTTGGCGCTAAATGCAATCCCTTACACATTTTCTAAGATCTTCCAGCCTGAAATGCAACGAACAAACTAAACAGTTCCTTCCGTGATTGTGAACATCCTCAGAGGTGAATGGGCAAACTGAAAAAAAAAAACACTTTCTCTGCTGTGGAAGATTTCACTCCCTTCTGGTGGCATTCAGGAACACAAAATGGACCAAATCAACGATAAAGCAAGACTTTTCTGGAGAAGCATTGTCAAAACAAAACATCAAAGCCCGACTAGCCTCGCTTTCATGCAACTTGTCCCAGGCACCAACTGTGTGGTCCTCCATATTTGCATTCAGTGTATTTCATTCACATTTTGCATGGTCCTTCACGGGAAATTTACTGCATTTTAAGATTTCGGAAGGGCGCGGCCATACAGGCATTTGACAATTTCTTTTTTATTTAACAGTTAACAAGTTACCTTTTATTGATTACTTCTGAAGCATGTTTAAGAAACTGCTGCAAGTTTTCTTCATGCGCACCTTTTTCAGATGCTGCAATTGATCGATAATAGACAGCAGTGATGTGTAGCTTGGACAACCTTGTGTGTTTACTATAACTTTAGCATTCTTCCTTGCCAAAGGGGGTGTACATAATTCTCATGGAAATTTCTGAGGGCGAGAGAGTTATTTTCATGTTCAAAACATGGAAACTCCAGGGAGATGGGAGGTGGGGGGGTCTTATGTGAAATAACCTCCATGGTGGGGATATGGATATTTTCTGGACCTACACACTCTTGACTTCAAGTATCTACAAGAAATTTATTCCAACAACAATGGTTTAATGCACACTTATTTTTATGGATAAAAGTTGGATGTTTCGTCTAATTTAGGTGGAGTGTTATCAAAAGTTCTTCAAACCATCTCTACAGCTGCTGACAACCTAATGTTCTGACTAGCATTTACGAAGCATAAGAGAATTGATCAAAATGGAAGCATATCATATTTCTTTATTAGCTTGTACGTATGCTTACATGTGTTTCATGTTTACCAGCCTTTTACTGTAGAGGGAAACTGACGTCTTTACCAAAGGAAGATATAAACCGACATGTTCCCATATTAATTATTTACAGTAGTTGTTCGAATGTTGGGAATTAACTGACTTTTATCTAAAAATATAAAGAAAAAATTCTTGCCACTAGTCCTTTCACATTTCTTTTTTCACAAGAAAAAAAACAACAACATCTAATTGTGACAACAGGTAAGCTTAAATTCTCTCGGTACAGCCGTCACATGCCATCCATGAGGGTTCGAAAACAGCGGATCATACGTTATGCACGAGTCCATTCTAGACCTTGCAATTCGAGATTTGCCGAACTGAAGAAAGCTTACATGTAAAATCTCATCTGTCACAAAGAAGCTCATACAGTTGATGGTTTGTCTTGATACGAAACGGAATTTTTGTGCGTAAATCTTCGCAACCTTCTCAATGCCGCATTGTCATATCTGTTGTTATGTTGTGCACTTCTGCCCAGAGTTTGACTTTGATCTGAAGCCATATTTCGGTGATGTTATTGTTAAATTTAGCACTTGGATTAAGCTTCGCGCATGACAAACATCGCGGAGCTCAAGTCTGTTTTGAATGTTAGAATGATCACGAAGTGCTGAACTGAACGATTTGACGAATTTACACTGCAGCACGGCACCTAACCTATATCTTTCCATACAGATTTTACGTTGCTTTTATTCCAGAGTAACATATAACAAAACAAAACAGCTTTTAGAAGACAGTTAATGTAACTAATGCGCACAATATCAGCAAAAAATGATTACACTAGCAGGTTTGTCATTATCGATTCCTCCTCCTAGCTTCTCTACTTCCCGTAGCTATCAACGAAGATCGACTCCCAGCTATGAACTCCGGCTGAATTACACAACCAAGATGCAAGTCCTTGAAGTTAATATGGTGAAAAAGAGTTAAATTGACTGACCTTCTTCTTCCATAAGCGCCGTTTTCGGTTCTTTAGGGTTGTACCGCTTGAACTCCGCCACTGCGAAACATGAAGAAGCGAAGTGCCCAAGATGGGTTAAACCGTTTACCTAATAAGGAGTTACGGATGGGGTCTCCCCGGCCAGGGGCTGGTCAGTTGACTTTGTCGCGCACCTGCTTGCAAGTTCTCCTAGCAACTATAGCAAACATAAACTATTTGAAAATGCAACTCAATTAAAACAGTGTATTGGAAAAGAAAGAACTCTTTGGGGGGATAACTATTGTTGAACAACATTTCCTGTTGGTAATTCTTTTTTTTTTTGTATAAAACGAAAACACAGAGAGAGTGTTGTCATTTATTTTTTAATTACACTTTGAAATTATGTCATATATACAGGTCTTAGCGTTTTCGGTCGATCATCATGCTCCTCCTTGCAAAATGAATTGATTGAAATTCGTTAATTTTTCATTTTCTCTGAGTTTTTTTACCAATAGAAAGTAAAGGCAATAAATTTGCATTTTCAAAGTTAGTAGCTGATTATTGTTTGCTTTTATTTTTCAGTATTTTTGTGTAATGATATTTTACCTTATCGTACATTTCTGGCATGGTTTGGCACCATATCAGGCGAGTTTGTTAGAGCCATGGTTCGTATTTTGCCAGAATACTGATCTATGATTGTCCGGAGTTTCCCCGATAACCCGACCGGACATGGACAGAATCTCCCGGAGGGGACACCAAATCTCCCTGCAGTTGAGATACGAAGGAAAGGACTCAAAAGTTTCATTTTTGGGGGCAGTTTCGGGGGAAATGCTTTGAAATATTTGACATGTCTTTGTGTTGAATCGGCAGTGCTCTTCTTTTCACGTTTTCTTAGCTAGGGCCGAAGGTAAGCTGATTGGCGATCTCCTGGATTTGGTACTTATACTCTAATCACCCTGAAACGATTATAAAATATTTTGTAACTAATCTTAATAAACACAAACACAGCATCAGGGGCGGGCATCTCGTTTATT